GGTTAGCCATCGCAAAGCCTGCCTAACTGTTCACCTATCACCAAGAAAAACGGGGAACTTCCAAGTGACGTACTACTCATAATTAAGTATTTGTACTCATACTCTGTTAGAAAATATCTGGTATTGGTGGGTCACTACTTGTAACAGTATAGTTTTTACAAATACTTTGTCAGAAAATGAATCAAAGGGAAGAAAATATCTAAAGATAATCCCTTAAAGAGACAATGTGTAGTTTTTACCATTAATCTCTGGAAACATCGAAATGTTGAAAATGAATGAAATGATGCTCAGTTGTTGAAAATATTGGCGGCTTCGTAACATATAGCCATAAAATACATGGCAGTTTGTCTAAGTGTATGGGCGACGCCATATTAAACACCATGTTTCCTTCTATGGGAGCCTGTGAGGACAAAATGCATTTACTGATTTGTAGCAAGTGGTTACAAACTGTTAACATTCATGAACGTTGTTTTACGCATTTACCTCTTTGCTCGTTGCCAGTGATGATGTGGTTGTCATTTTGCTGGAGGTTGCGCTCCCAGGGATTTTTCACCCGAATGGCCATCCGTTGGTTAGGTCATACTGGAGCACAAAAATACTGCTTGCTTGAAATATTTTAGGTATGTACTGCCCTCCATCACCAGGGAAAATACACATTTAAAGGGTGACTATTTCACCAATGTTTACATCTTGGTGATTGTTCAACCTTTACTAAAGAGTAACCCCAGCTTTCTACTAGATGTGTAAGTGGCACATATCCTAATAGATGTCTTTTACACAACTAGAAATCTGCACAACTTACTTAGAAAGTTCCTTGATGTTTTACTGCTTTTGTGACTTACTTCCTGTGTAGCCGATCTGAGCTGTTGAGTTTGATGCGTCCTGGAAGAGAAGGGTAAGTTTAGCGGAGCCATGTGTGGAGATAAAACATTAATGTTGCAAACAGTCAATCGTAGAGTCGTGTTGCTGTTAGTCAATTGGAGGTGACGTGTCAACAAAGCAGGACATAGGACTCCAAATCCGGTCATCGGAAGCTACTTTCTCTACTGGCTGAATTCTCCATCCTGAAATAGGCACACTGCAGCTTTTTCCCCCAGAGTACAACTTTTTTCCTACTAGAGACAACTGCAAATGTGTTGAAAATATGTGCTAAAGACCTCTTTTAGAGGCATGAAAAAAATGTGATTTAAGCTAGCTTGTTTTGCCATTAGCTTTAATTCATGGAAACCATTGACTGCATAGGAAATCTAAAAGCAGCGGGCCTGTTTTCTTATCAGTCATGTTGGGCCTGTGATGGATGAAACAATGAAGAAAGGCGTGCTTTGAACCAACCTCCCTCAGAGTGTTTGAATCCTGTCCCATCTTCATTTCGAACATCTGTCATCCCTGTAATTGTCCGTGTGCTTGTTTCTCCTCCACAGAGAGCCCAGCCTGCTCTCTGATGTCGATGACAGCTTTCTCTACCTCACAGGCTCTTCATCTCTTTTGCACCCTGACGATCGCATCAGCCAAGTTCTGATTCATTTTCTTGGTGCTTGCCTTGAACCTTTCAAGCACAATTTTGCTCCTTTTACACCTCTCCATCTCTGAAAGCAAGCATTTCCTCCCTGCTTGTCTCAATGGTTAATGGACTCCATACAGCACATAGTGCCTTTTGTAGTGAGGGTCCCTTAATCAAATACATTTTTCAGACCCTCGTATAAGCAACGGAGGGGGGAGAAACATAAAGGCAATATTCTATGAGTGCAGCCCATCGACCATCAATACGCTGCACTCAGAAAGCAGACGTGTGCACCATTTTCCTCAGATTTTTACGTGGATACCTCCTTAAATAGCCGAGTTGAAAAGCTTTTACAGCTGCTTGTCAACAAGGCCATTTCTTGCTGTTCCAAACCATCTTAATCAAGCTTATCAATGCAGCTAGCTAGGTGCTTTCCAAATCAAGAATAAATCTGATCATTGTGGCTGTAATGGAAACTGGGATGAAAGGTGATGTAAAAACCAGCATTGCCCGTGGCACTTTCCTCTTGGAGTGGTTTGGATGTAGTTCAATAACAGCGACTCAAACAGCAGGGTGCCTAGTCCTCATTCTGAGATGGACAAAAATGGAGTTTCTTGCTCCTGACATTTGATTTACTATGGCACAATGCATCAACGCTAAGATGTGAGACTGGACCATAAAAATTATTAACAATGTTTAAGCCACCTTTTCCTCTTAGTTGTTAGAAGATGTGGTGCATTAAAACATATTTCATACATTTATGAATGTAAACCCTCTCCTTTTATTAAGTCGACTGTTTCCTGTACTGAATATAAAGAGATAAATACAAGTGTATACAGGGAGTGCAGAATTATTAGGCAAGTTGTATTTTTGAGGAATAATTTTATTATTGAACAACAACCATGTTCTCAATGAACCCAAACAACTCATTAATATCAAAGCTGAATGTTTTTGGAAGTAGTTTTTAGTTGGTTTTAAGTTTTAGCTATTTTAGGGGGATATCTGTGTGTGCAGGTGGCTATTACTGTGCATAATTAGGCAATTTAACAAAAAACAAAGATATACCCATTTCAATTATTTATTTTTACCAGTGAAACCAACATCTCCACATTCCCAAATATACATTTCTGACATTCAAAAACAATACAAAACTAATAAGCGACCAATATAGCCACCTTTCTTTGCAAGGACACTCAAAAGCCTGCCATCCATGGATTCTGTCAGTGTTTTGATCTGTTCACCATCAACATTGCGTGCAGCAGCAACCACAGCCTCCCAGACACTGTTCAGAGAGGTGTACTGTTTTCCCTCCTTGTAAATCTCACATTTGATGATGGACCACAGGTTCTCAATGGGGTTCAGATCAGGTGAACAAGGAGGCCATGTCATTAGTTTTTCTTCTTTTATACCCTTTCTTGCCAGCCACGCTGTGGAGTACTTGGACGCGTGTGATGGAGCGTTGTCCTGCATGAAAATCATGTTTTTCTTGAAGGATGCAGACTTCTTCCTGTACCACTGCTTGAAGAAGGTGTCTTCCAGAAACTGGCAGTAGGACTGGGAGTTGAGCTTGACTCATCCTCAACCCGAAAAGGCCCCACAAGCTCATCTTTGATGATACCAGCCCAAACCAGTACTCCACCTCCACCTTGCTGGCGTCTGAGTCGGACTGGAGCTCTCTGCCCTTTACCAGTCCAGCCACGGGCCCATCCATCTGGCCCATCAAGACTCACTCTCATTTCATCAGTCCATAAAACCTTAGAAAAATCAGTCTTGAGATATTTCTTGGCCCAGTCTTGACATTTCAGCTTGTGTGTCTTGTTCAGTGGTGGTCGTCTTTCAGCCTTTCTTACCTTGGCCATGTCTCTGAGTATTGCACACCTTGTGCTTTTGGGCACTCCAGTGATGTTGCAGCTCTGAAATATGGCCAAGCTGGTGGCAAGTGGCATCTTGGCAGCTTCATGCTTGACTTTTCTCAGTTCATGGGCAGTTATTTTGCGCCTTGGTTTTTCCACACACTTCTTGCGACCCTGTTGACTATTTTGAATGAAACGCTTGATTGTTCGATGATCACGCTTCAGAAGCTTTGCAATTTTAAGACTGCTGCATCCCTCTGCAAGATATCTCACTATTTTTGACCTTTCTGAGCCTGTCAAGTCCTTCTTTTGACCCATTTTGCCAAAGGAAAGGAAGTTGCCTAATAATTATGCACACCTGATATAGGGTGTTGATGTCATTAGACCACACCCCTTCTCATTACAGAGATGCACATCACCTAATATGCTTAACTGGGAGTAGGCTTTCGAGCCTATACAGCTTGGAGTAAGACAACATGCATGAAGAGGATGATGTGGACAAAACACTCATTTGCCTAATAATTCTGCACTCCCTGTATGTATTCTTCTTTAGAATGGGTTAGGGTTAACTTTGTCTAATTTATTTAAATAACTAATGGAATTCCTTGAGGTCCCTCAGAAGAGGAAACAGATTGACTGTGGCACCTGAAATCAGAAATTGTTTACTTGATAATCCTAATTTAAAAGGATGCTTAACAAATTTTTCATATTTCTAAATTACTTTCTTGAGCCAGTATGTGCTAAAATGACCCCACTCAGACCCCACCACACTCTGTGGCCAGAATACTGCACTTGCAACTTCAGAGTGCCAGGCCACAACCTGTTAGATTTAGGAAAAAATACCTGGTGCTGCAGTGTGCTTCCAGCATGTTTTAGATCATAAACACAGCTGATTTATTTAATTTAGTGGTGAATCACTCTTGTAGGCACTAAAAGGCTAAGGAGCCACTTGAGCTGCGTTAAAAGACAAACGCACAGCGAGGAGATAAGTTTCACTTTTGCTTTGATCGGGCACTAGGGGTGCTAAAAGCAAGCAAAACTGCTTAGTATGCCTTTAAGAGTAACGAAAATCCTTACAAAAACACACTTACTATTCATAATTATTAAAAATCAGGCTACAAAAAGATCTTTTTATAGATGAAAACCACACAGCAGAGCACTATTTTATCCAGAAGCATGAAAGCGGGGGATGGGGGGTTGATCACGCGAAGAAAACATTTTCAAATAAACTAGAAACATGAAAAAAAATCTGTAAAATAAAGACTAATTAAAGAAAATCAACAGATGTGCACAGCTGTGAGCTCATTCATCCATATCCAGCTTTAAAGTGAAGTGGAAATCATGCTTCTTCCTCTGGTTTGCTCATTATACAGATCTAAAAATCCAATTTGTGATCATGTATGACTGGAAATGAATGATGAAAATACAAACACTCTGCCTCTGCCATGTAATTTTACTTCAATAGGCAGTTCCTTGGCAAGTCAGCATAAAAAAAAACCTTCTATCAAACAACACCATCTAGCAGCAGGTATTTTCATCCCTTAATGTAATTTGATGCAGGACTGTCTAGCTAGTAGGGTTGTCACGATACTAAAATTTCAAACTCGATTCGATACTTGAAAAAAAAACTCAACACTCAATTTCGATACTATTTAAAAACACCAATTTATTGAACAAGTTTATTCAAAAAATAACATTCCTCAATTTATATTGCAAAAATTAAATGTTAAGAATTAAGTGTATTAAGTGCTTAAACCTTTCAAGTATCAGCATTTTTTAAAACGTGCATACAAAAACTGGTGAAAGTTAACACTTTAAGTCATGAATTGTCTCACTATATATACACTATTTGCAGAGTGATGTTTTGCTGCTTAAACTCTGTTTAAGGTGCATTTTTGTCATAAGATGTAATGCCATATGTTTGTTCTGTACTTTTGAACAACTCTGTTGGTCAATAAAGGGAGAAAACGAATTTCTCCACAGTAGGACAAAGGTACATCTATCGGTAATCTTAATAAAAACAGATTGGCGCACGGCAGTGACGTCATTAAAAGCGCCGGTTAGATTAGCCGCGGCTAGTCTGTTTACGCCTAGAAATCCCAGACTCGCTCCAAACGAACAGGGGAATCATGTTAATGATTCCTAACAAAACCTTTCGACATGAAGATGTTTTGGTGCAGATAATGTCTTATTTCGAGGCTGCACCATGGGTGCCCGTCCGCACCCGTTATATGGATAGACGCTGATGGCGATTCGCCGATGGATCTAAATACCCCGGGGAATCCAAGTAGCACCAAAGTTGTCAGCGTGAGTAAACAAACGTACTGCATGCTAGAAATTAGGTCCGGGTTGCAATAAACGGGAGTTTCCTTTAAGCACATAAGCGTGAATATACAACTACGTGTCGGACTTGGTATGCTAATTAAGCTGGGCTGTGAAGCGCCTCCCAAATTCGCTGTTTATGTTTTTGTTTATTTATTTGGCAGACAAAACTTGGATCGGAGACAACTCGCGTGGGAAATTGCAATGTAGCCATGTGGCGTCTTCTTCTGTTTGTCTGGGAGGCGGAGGCTGCTTTACGGCATCTGGCTGTCGTGTGTGTCGGTGTACTCGAAGAAGGCTGTGTATAATAGTCCATAATATCGATACCACAGGGATGGAATATCTAATTTAGATACCACTTTTAGTATCGATTTATATCTAGGCATCGATTTTTTTGACAACACTACTAGCTAGCAGAATCAGAATGATCTCTGCAAGGTATGAGGAGCTTTTTCATGACCATTTTCTGCCTTGGTTTGGTTTACCAAACAGGATTCAAGCTCCGATAAACATTATTTTAACTTTTTGCACAACCTGTGATTGTACTTCAAAACAGAATCTTTGAAACTGAGCAGAGATGAAAGGTAAAATGGCCACCTACACAAATATCAGCAACTAAAAAGAATGCACAGATTCATTCTCAACGGAGACTGAAGCTGACATTTATGTGTCATCAGTCACTCCCCAAAATATATTTTACCTTTGCGGTGAATAGATGAGCAGAATCAGGTCACAGCTTTAATCCACTGAGATGTAGAATATTTAAATTACGCCAACAGAGGAGGAATTAAACAGTGAAATCAAAGCCAAATTGTTGCTGCAGTTGCTGGTTCAATAGGGAGATGAAAAAAGCTGAATTTGACAGCTAAAGAGGAGATTATCCCTCTCTGAGTTGGACTTTGATACAAGAAGAGCACTGTTCAAGTGCTCTGGCTTGATGGATGCCACAGAAAAAAATAATCATATCAAGACCAGTTAATAAACTAGTTGTGGCTGAATAGCTGTTCCAGCTTTAGCTGGTAAACCTTTACTTTTAGCTAATTAAGTGACTGTGTGTATTTTCCCTGTCGATAGGGGGCAGTACATACCTAAATCCTTCCAAGCAATCAGTATTTTTGTTTTCGAGTAAGGACATTAGGGTAAAAACTCTTTTGGAGAGCAATTTTCGAACGAGTACTTCGTCAGATGTTCAGCCTTCAAGAAAAATGAAAAGCACATCAGGCTTCCTTTCACCACTGATGACGAGTGAAGAGGTAAATGCGTTAAACGTTTATAAAAGGCGATTGTTTTGTAACTGCTTGTTACAAATCACTAAATGCATTTTGTCCTCATGGGCTCACGTAGAAGTAAACACCGTGTCTAATATGGCATCACTCAGAGACTTGAACTCGCTCCCCTGTATTTTAGACCGAATTTTTACAGTTATGTTACGACGCCTCCATTATTTTTCAACAACTGGGCATTATTTAATTTATTTTCAACATTTCAATAGAGATTTCTAGAGATTGATGCTAAAAACTACACATCGTCAATTTAAAGCTGCCTTTTGCTACTCATTTGTATGCTTTTATGATCTTATGTAAATAACCAAATACAAGCCTTCCTATATATGTGAATATGGTCTGGCCACGACCCATGAGGAAAGTTTGGTCGAGGCCCGGAAACCATGGTTGTCTTTCAAACTGTCTCCTCATGGTATTGGACAATGAACAATATGACATACTCACAGCTATGGATGTCAGTCAATGGGACAGTCTGCCATACACTGTCGAAGAAGACGCAAATATATATTTTTTTCTAAATAAAGGACTTAGTCCTGGAACCCAAGTTTTTCTTTTTTATTCATGGTTTTTAGTGGTCGAAGGTTACAATATTACAATAGTATAGCTTACTGCCCATTTGTATATGCATGTACCTTTGTTATTATTTGTCTTCCAGTAATTCTCTTAAGTGTTGGTGCTGCTGTAACAAGTACATTTCCCTGTTGTAGGATCAATAAGGTCTGTTCTATTCCAAGTACCTCTCGACAGAGTAAAGATGAGGCATTAGGCGAGTGAGAGAAGGTTCAGTTCGGTTTAAAGAGATCTACGTGTCTGCTCCGGCCCGCCGCTAAAAGGGGCGTTTTGTTTGTAAACGGGAACGCCCACTGCAAACCGGAACACCTCCTTTTTCCTATTTGCTCCTGAAATGTTATTTCACCTTCGATATTTCAAAATAAGATATTTTCTCTGCTCATCTATCTGTTCTACGTCTTTTTTATAGTTTTTGATCATCTGTGCTCAGCCTGCCGTTTCATTTTGTGTTGCTGGTTTGACGTGAGCGCGTTCCACGCTCTCCGAATCCGAACCTGCATTTAAGTCCTGCCTCCTGCTTTACTCACAGTTTGTACAAATAATAAACTCAAAGCCGGAGACTGTCAATAAGGTGGGACACAAACTTTTCTCCTCTAGTTTGGACTGTCTCTCATGAGAAGCGCACCTGAAACACCGCACCTAGACAGGAAGAAGCCAGTAGCTTTTCAAAATAAAGTAAATTTTAAACGTTTCATGATATTTAAATTCACTTCAAACTACAATTACGGTTAGTATAAGTGCACAAATATAGGCTATATATTTCACGCTTTACATTGTTTAACAATAGTGTAATGGGCTACGATTTGCTATGGTTGGACTTTTATGTTGAAGGGGGTGTTGGCCGGTTGTGTGGAGAGTTCCAGTTCGGTTGTTTAGAAAGAGAAAATGAGATAGCTTGTATGGAAGCCCATTCCCGCCACTCAGATAAAAAAAGAAATTATCTCATAATTATGACCTAGGTATCTCATAATAATGAGATACCTAGGTCATAATTATGACTTAGCTATCTCATAATTATACCTATCTCATACGTTTTTCACGAGGTGTTCTACAATCTGCTTCGTGTCTGTCATTAGAAATGTTCGGTTCTCGTTTTATTTTTTGAGAGGGAATAGCGGTGCTGACAAAGTTACAGGAAGCGGTGTCCTGACCAATCACAGGCTTGTGACCTTTGTTGCTTTCAACGGATATTTAGAAAAGTGGGCTCTACTCCGTTCATCCTTGCAAGCCTGTTGGACAGCACTTGCAACGACGAATAATGGTGTTGTGCGTCTCCGCACCGACGAACACAAAGAAGTATGATGCGTGATGCGTTTTGAGGCCATTTTCTGACTTAAGACCAACTTTGCAACCATTCAGTCACATTGAAGCAATCAATGTCATATGGCATCACAAGCACAAGAGTGAGAACAGTGTCAACATTATTATGCACCAATCAGCAACTTAATCAGACAATTTGAGTTTCCACACCAGGTACATTTTTGTTACAACTGCATTTTAAAAGACGTGACACAAAAATAATCTCAGTGGGATGAAGGTGAAGTTGGGATTTTTCACAGAAGAAACACGTCCATCAAAATGTTCTTCAGTTACATCCTCAGAAAAGTGATGATGCCTGTTTTTGTCACCAAGCAGCTGTAGGCACACAGTAAGGGGTAAAAAGGGAAGTAATAATGGCATCTTTGCTTCGTTACTATGGAGAAAAGCAGCTAAGACCAGAACTTTTCAACTCTTGGCAGCTAAAAGTTAAACCTGTTGGTAATGTTTGTTGTGTTAACAGTGTTTCCTTCACATCTTGTTTCTACAAGTGTGATGATTATTTTAATCCAACTATCTTAAGTGGACAATTAAAATAATTATCGTTTTAATCCTTTAGGTGTCTTAGTGAGGCCAATTCTGCAAAAGAAAAGATGCAATATTGTCATTAGATGAGGTCATTGGATCGAGGTTTGACTGAACTTTGGTTGAAGGGGAAGTGGATGGATAGAAACGATTCCCTAAATGGTGTGAACAGATCTCAGCCCAGCTGTGGTGTCTGAGGCTTTGTGGCCGACTGAGAATCCGAGGACGACCCAGAGAGGCATGCTTCTCCATGTGTGATTCATATTTTCTCCACAAAGCTTCTTCTTCACTCCCTGAAGGCAGGTCTTAATTGTTAGACGTGATATCACCACATCCCCTCTCCTCTTCCTTTGACTGTTTTTTCTTCTCCCTCCTCCCACCCTCCTCACTCCCTCCAGCTATTAGGAATTGGATTTGGAGCAGAACGATCCATTTAGTCGCTCTCCTCCACCGCTATCCCTCTCTCCATGCTTCCACACCTCCTCTGTAGGTTTCACTCATCAAAGCTCAGGCTTAATCTTCTATTTTTACCTGAAGGAATGAAAGGAAGGGATGAGGTAATGCATTTCCTGTCCATCAGGTGGGCAGAGGTGCATGGGCTCACTGGTGTGTTTAGCACAGGGAGTCAGCACCACCACCTGGACTCTGATGGGAAGAGCCACTGTGAACATGATGGCTTCTAATTAATATGTAACTAGCAAAAATACCTCACGATACAGGCTTAAAGGGAGGAACCATCATTTATATGCTGTTTTTTTTTTTTTACTCATGACCTGTGAGTGAGAAGTCTGAACATGATGGTTTGTTAAAACAAAGCTCCACCTAGTGGACATAAGAGGAAACTATTTCATGATGTAAACAAAAAACATTGATTTATGTGTTTATAAAGCACAAAAACACTTTAAACCAAAAAGTGAAAGTGTGTTCTCTCCATCTTTAAAAACCATTTCTCATCATTTTCGCTCAAAAAGGGACATCATTAGGACTAAATCTTGTTAATCAAAACCAAAAAAGGATAAAACTGTTTTTCTGACGCCAGAAAAAACAAATGGTGTTACAAGAGTTGTCCAAGTAGGAAAGCTGTCCTTATTTCCCAGCCTGAATTCTCTTTGGTCCCACTTTTGGGATCACTGTCATCGTTTACGGTGAACCTGTTTTAAGCTAATATTCCAGAAATCTTGTTAGATGATTATGTGGAACACTCAACACTCCATTCCCTGCAACCAGAGCCTGTCAAAAGGAAAAACTAAAACTCAGCTGGTAAACATTCTCAGAACCAAGATGACTGTTTATTCTGGTACATGAAGGTTTTTCAGCGTTCTTAGTCACATCATTTGTCATTATATACAAAGCATTTGCTAGAAATTTAGCGTTGACGTTAAAAGTTTTTTTCATAAAATGTCGTAACAATCACCCTGATTCCAGAACATGTGATATGTATGGGCCTAATCTTTGCAAAAACAAAGTGGGATGTCAGTGTTACATGCAGTATTGATGCCAGAGTTGCTAAAGTAAATAAAAACATTGATGTTATGTATGAAACCAAGCCGTAGCAGGAAACTGGAAATGTGTGTGTTGTTCCTGAGATGACAACAAGGCAAAGAAAAAACTCCATTTCTCACCTTAATTCTTAAATATTTAAATTTGCAATATAAGAAATAAATCATCTGCTTTTACAATGTAAAAGGCTTTCAGATCAAAATTGACTTAACAGAAAACGCAAAGAACAAATGAACTTAGTGAAGTGAGACAACCCTCCTGCTCTAGGTTTACCTACATGTACAGGCACAGAGGTGACCAGGTGAGTTAGAGCACACAGCAGCAGTCTCTTATTTGTCTTTGTCGTGGCTCTGGCCGTTGCAGCCGTTGGGTCGGCTGATGCAGCCTTTACCTGGATGATCCTTAAAATCAAAGCCATCCAGGGAGAGGTGAGAAGTGTTCTTTAGAAGGTGGTGAAGCTCGTCTGGAACAGTGGAGAGACGAGAAGAGGCGTTGGAACATACGTTTGTGATCATCGGGTTACAATAACGCTGATGGAGCTTGTTCATTTTAACCGTTTGGCTTCAACACAAAGAAAAATGTTCTTTTTTTACGTTATTTATTAACATTTGATTTCATCACAAACAATAACTCCTCTTCATTTATGGAGTGGAACTTAGCTCTTTTAATACATTAATTTATTTATATAATGATGAACAAAAAAATTTATTTTAAAATAGTTTTGACAGCTTAGATTAAACAGCTGGTGATAAAGTTTGTAACAGCTGGTTTTTATCTTCTCCAGTAAAACCGGTCGGACATCCAAACTGGGAGTGAAACCACTGATATGGAGCGATGTAGACGCGCTGGCAGGTGCTGTCAATATTTCTACAAATATTATTAAAAGCAGCATGGTCTTACCATAAGTGATTTTCCTTTCATCCAGTTTTCCCAGAGCCAAAAACAGACCAGACAGGTCCACATTCTTCACTCCCAACATTATTTCCATGACGACAGCCAGATCTTCCTCCCGGATTTCTCCTCTCTCGTTCTCATACATCTACGTGTTAAAATGCTGTTTCAGCATCAGTCAGCCTCCATCACACCAGAGTCACTGGTCAAGTTCTCACCTCAAAGGCCAGTTTAAGAGTCTCAAAGGATTTAGGAGGCCGGAGTACCGTAGACAGAGCGACGATGTAATGTCTGATGTCCATCTGTCCATCTTCACTCTACATACAGTATTATACCAGTGAGCAAACAGGTAAGGAAGCTCTCTGACCTCATCAGGAAATGTTATTTGCTTATAAATAATCATTAATATGTCATCTAAAATCTAGATGTGTATTTTAGCTTTCTAAACATTTCGATGCAGGGGTTTCCCATCTAACAAGGTTTAAAACATGTATTTATGATGCTGAACTCTATAGAGGGTGGAAGCAGCTTCACCCTGTTTGGTTCTGACCCGGGGTTCTGCCAGCTGACCGCTTCCTAAGGATCTCAGAGCCCTGCTGGGCGTATACACAGGAACGAGATCTAGTGTGTATTTTGGCCCCATGCCACTGAGTGATTTATAAACTAGTAGTAGCACTTTGAAATCAATTCAGTAGATTACTGGTAACCAGTGTAGAGACTTAACAGGAGTGAACGGTTATCTTGGTTCTTGTTGAGACTCTAGCAGCAGCATTCTGAATAAGCTGTCGTTCAAAACTTGTTCTGAAAACAGTTCTCATGATCACTTGATTTTCTTGTTTCTTTATTAGTGTCTGCAGTCTGTCAGAACTCCATCTGAATTTTAAGCGCAGCCCGACTACAAGCACGCTTTACCTCACCTACATTCATCAACCATCATGATGATCGGTGTTGTACGCGGTCAATCATTCAGCTGCAGCAGTCCATTTAGACGTTTAACTGAAAACTTCTTTGCAATATCAGACCTCTGTCTGTACTTGTTTAAAAAATGCAACGTAATTCAATTAAACATCCTCTTTTAAGATCAGAAACTAATCAATTCAAATTTTTTTCCTAAAGTTCAAGTACAGAATCTTTAACTCAAAGTATGGGCTTGGGCACGTTAAACACAGGTCTTAAGACTATGGTGGGCACTTAATGCACTGTAATTTTTTATCGTGCGATTGTAATTTTTCCTCATGTATTCCCTCATTCATCTACAAAGGAGCGCCGTCATGGCTGCTCCCATGGTCTGCCTGTATCTGTCCTGTCTATATGTGTGTGTGTAACCTTGGTCAGGTTGTACTATGGAGTCAAGTTCCTATGCTCTGATCTGATCTGAGCTCTGGCAATAAAATTCATTCTGATTCTGATTCTGATATATTTCTTCATCAAGTTGACACAGTGATAGCTAGATCTTGTTGTATTGTTGTTGTGTCCCATTTTTTTTGCCCTTTTGCTTTTTTTTTGTCTCTTTCTGCAGGTCTAGAAGCAGACTCTTGTTCATTATTGTTTATTTTTGTGGAACCCCCCCACCTCCTCTCTCCCCACCTTTTCTTTTCCTTTCTCTTTCACCTCTGTCTCTGTGTCTGGTCGGAATTACAAAGCATTCAACAACAATAACAATAAAGTTTTAAGTATCAGGCGTGACATTAAAAGCAGACGCTTTGATGCTCCACCTGAGAGTAAATCTGTAAGGCTTGTCACCAGCATTCAGACATCAATTCTGCTTGCTTCACAGCCAGACAGGACACGGTAAAAAAAAAAAAAAAAAGAATCTTTAACTCATTCGCTGCCAGCATTTCTCACCGTTTTATTGCTTTTTTAAAGAGTCACAGAACGTTGCGCGCTAGGATGATGTTGACGCCAAAACAACCAAAACAAAGCGGAGACTCACCTCTTACATCAGGAAGAATCCACGCGTTTCGAGCGTTATCCATTCTTTCATTATCCGTCGTTGAATTGTGATCGGCAGAAGTTTTTCCGGTTCGCGCCTCACTTTTTTTTACAGCAGCGGCCCAAAACGATCTCCTAACACATGGATTTTTCTGCTTCCTGATCACGTGACGTGTGGCGTATGCGGATGAAGATCGGCTTTAGAGCTGAGATGTTTGTTCTCACGATACAGGGGCTCGTTCTGACGCCCACACAGTAAAAAATGCAAATTGGCAGTGAATGAGTTACTAAAGCTTAACAGTTTTGTGTCCTAATCAGAACTAAGTTTGGGTTTAAAACGTTATTTTCCAATCAAAAGTTTGTTACCTGCTCAAATAGGTTGTAGACTTGTGTGAGCGTGTCTGAAACTGGGAGCGTGAGGAACTGAGCCAACTCTTCCAGCCCCAGTCGGGTTCCCTCTAGACTTCGGGCTTTTTTAACATGCTCTTCCAGCTGCCTGTCCCTCATGCCTGACCTCAACCTGTAACAACAAAGTAAAAAATGGAAACTTACGGTGACATAGCAAAGCAAAGTGTGGTTAGACTCACTGAAGTCCATATTAATAAAAGTATTCATCATTTTGTCCCTTCCTATCTGAGCTCTTTTTCTTTCACCACAGCAGCCAGACGTGTATGGAAGAATTTAAGTGCCAGAAATTGAGCACTTGAACTTTCAATTTGAGAGCAGAATTTCATACCAAGAGACCAACTTTTTAATTTGAGAATAAGATTTTATATTATTGCTCTCAAAACTTGTAATGCTTGCACTCAAAATGTCTGCTCTCTCTTTTAAATATACTCTGTTCTTCAAATCTTTGTTTCTGCGCTCAGATTTAACTTTCTTACACTGGTATTTTCTTCTCACGCAACAACTTTTTCTCTGCATGGATCAAAACTCCTCCCACAAGTCTGCTCCCTGCTCTCACGGATTTTTCTAGCCTGGCAAGCCAGACTAAATAAATGCTCCATTGACGGCTCTCGGTTGTGGGGCGGGTTCTACCGTTGTCTTTCAAATGATCTCCGCATTCCACTGGACAATGAATGTGACATACTCTTGTTTCACTCTGTTGCATCATCCCACCCACCAGGCATATAGAGTGCCCTGATTGTCCCACAAAGCGGATAAAGCTCTGTGATTTGTTCACTAAGCAGATAGAGCACTATGATTGGCCCACCATTATGGACCAATCACAGCTCTTTATGTGTTTGAAACCCCTCTAGAGAGCTGTGATTGGCTAGCCAGAGTCCTGGTAGGAGCTGCTGAGGTTCCAATGGAGCGTGCCTAGACCAAACTTTGCAAAGCAAGAATTTGGTCTAGTTCACTAGGCTGATCTAAACCTATAACTTGGTCTAGTTCACTAGGCTAGGATTTTTCTGCTCTCGCTCAAACCTTGGAAGTATAATCTCCTAGCAACCGCTCAGCCAATAGGAGAACTGTACGGAACTGGGCGGTGACAAACGTCTTGGGGTTTGCTCGATTTTAAAGCGGGTTATCCCATAGATATGAATAAGTAGATGCCCAATTGGGCACTGGAACAGTTTCACCGCCATATTAGATGGGTCTCCTCACTCTCCAAAGTCAATGCAGAGCAGCAGTGACTGTAAAAACAGATGCAGAGTGAACAACTGTGCCCGTTTCTGTGTGGTTTTTAGTTGGTAAACACCCCCTCAGTAGAAATGAATGCACCGGGGGCAAACGGAGACCCATCTAAAATGGCGGCCAGCCACTACAGCAGCTCCAATAGACAGCGCCAGCCCACGAGGCGTCTACGTACACGTCTGTGGGTTATCCTGTGTGGCTTCAACAGTTAGCTCTTCAGCTTTCTGCTCCACGTTACGATCATCATGTGAATGTTGTCGGTGTCATGGTGTTCAAGCTGATGAAAACTAATGAATTATTTTGGCCAGACAGACTTTTTACACACATACTGACTCGTTCGCTTAGCTAACCCTACATGACCTGCTGACCTGAAGCAGCTTTTTTTTATGTTGACTGTTTCAGTTTTATTTTTATCAAAAAACTATTCGTTAAATAAAAACAGCTGATTTATGCCACACAATCTAAATGTAATATAAAATATGATCAGTTATTTATAAAAATCATTTTAAAATCTAGATGCACAAACGGCTCAAATTTCAGTTCTTCTGTTCAAGTGAAAGAAAAATAAAGACTCCAGTTGGATCAACATTATTTATTGTAACAATGAGATTTCTACATGGATCATAAAAATAAAACAACTTATTCAAACTAACATGGTAGCACATGCTACTTATCAACACTTTTAGTTCCTAGAGACAAAATCACACTCATCTGTTGTAAAGTGTAAATTAGGATAAAGGGTAAAAATTATATTAATGATGTAAACACATTTAACATTGTATAAACATGAAACCTAACTTTAAACCAGCTTCTTCTGTCACAGATAAAACTAAACACTGTTATTGTAAAGCAACACATCTAACCCCTATCTCACACTGGAAGCATCAGCGGCGCAGAACAGCGCTGCTTCAAGTACAACCCACTTTAGTCGGGGGGGGGGGGGGGGGGGGGGGGGTCCCAGAATTGGACCGCTGTGCCGCTAAAGATAGGATCGGGTTCTATTTTTGACACGAGCCACTTCTGTGCCACACCCATTCCTGCAGCAAACATAGGGCTAGACAGGAAATCACAAAAAGTTTCAGTGTAAATGTACGGCAATTTTCAAAATAAGACTAATGCAGCAAAGCTCACGTCTACATGTGACCTCATGGCTTTGTTTACTATCAGCTTCTTTCAAGAGTGATTTTCAGCATGGACGAGGCTTTAACCTGGCAGGGGAGGGGCACAGCACACTCCTGCAGCCTGCACACCTGAATGGTTACGGCCGACTCTCCACATCAACAGGAAAACAGGAAACGATCAGTCATGGTGCCCCAGAAAATATAAGAACTGCAAAGATTAATGTAAATGTAAAGTTTAGGGCAGCAGTAGCTCAACAGATTGAATGGGTTGTCCAGTAATCAGAAGGTTGCGAGTTCAATCCCGGCTCTGACCAGATAATGCTGCTGTTGTGTCCTTGAGCAAGACACTTAACCCACCTTGCCTGCTGCTGGTGGTCGGAGGGACCGGAGGTGCCTGTGTTCGGCCGCCTCACCTCTGTCCATGCGCCCCAGGCCAGCTGTGGCTACATGGTAAAGCGCTTTGGAGTCCTCTGACACTGAAAGGTGCTCTACAAGAGTGGGTCATTCATCATTTAGATCATGGACCCAGAGATGTTTATGAATCTAGAGAACGACGTTCCCGCAGGTTCTGTCAACACACAACTGGCTGTGAGGTGTCAAATTTGAGGCAGAGGCAGCACGCTTCAGGAGCATCACCTGCTAACTCTAGAAGTTCTGCTAGATGGACCCAGATGTGGCCGGCTCCTGCTGGCCTGATGCTTCTCTGTTAGAAGTGAGGAAACCAGAACGCTCCATCCATTTCTGGTAAAGCTCTGCAAGCACTCGTCTCTGACCTCATCCCTCCTTTCCTTTTGTAGTTCACGAACACGAGCAGCAAACACAGCAACACCGACTTTTACACATAAACAATCATGCAGTTTGTTTTTCAAAGTAAAAGAACTAAAACCTTTTAAATATATAACAAAAGCATCTGATGGTCTTCAGAACTGTGGTTCTTTGTTAAAGTTGTGAAAGTTAAATACATCATTACATTTAAGTCAACGTATCTGTAGAATTATTATTCATTCACTTTTTCTTTTCTTATGGTCATTGAACGCCACATCCAACAGCGACTCTACCGGTTCTCCGACTCGGTGAAAGTACACCATAATTCTACAGAATAAAGTTTTTAATGTTAATAATGTTCGTGGACGCCCTCTGGCGCTGATCGTGACATAACTCTGCAGAAGCAGTCGTGATACGCTGACGTCTGAGCAAAGTCCTTAAAGGGCTGAGTTTGTATGGAGAGACAACAACAGAGAGGACGAGCCGTCGTGTCTTCTTCTGGAGGAAACATGGCTATTATGTCTGTTAAACCACCCCTACCAACTAAATGTCAGTATTTACAGTATTTATATGTTTACTGAAACTGTTCTAACATTCACCACAAACCCTGAGTCCTGGTGGAGCTCCACACCGAGGCGCCTCAACAACACGTTCAGGTTAGAGTTAGCATCCTCTTGTTCTGGTCCAGGGTGGGAAGGCAAGGTTTTTATGTTGATGTAGCAAATCATTTAGATCAAATCTAAATATTTAAACTAATGTTGAGACTCCCATGAGCCGTGATGTCCATGATGCTCTGGAGCTTCTTCTCTTCTGGCCTCCTCGTTGTTGAAACCTTCTGAAGAACCGGGCTGCTGCCGGAGTCTGGACAGCAGGGGATGGTGGGAATGCTTCTGAAATCTGTATTTATCTGAGAACAAGAGTAAACACACAAAACTACATCTGAGAAATGAATCATTCTGCAGTGGTTGGTGAACCAACACACATAGAAGAAACAAATCTACTAGGGGATCAAACACTCATGTTCATTATCCAGTTCATGCAGGAACAGATGTGGCGGATCCTAAATGAACAGTCTGAGTGTCCCAGAGTGACTATAGCTGTGCCCGTAGTGTGGATGATTACTTTATAGTTCCTCCAACTGAGCACATTTAGCACTGCCACAAAAACAAGTGGACATAGAAATAAATTATAATTAAAACATTTAAACTAGGGATGTTCCCACTGATCAGACCAGGGTTGGGCATCGAGCATCGATTGGAACCGGTTCCAACTGTTAGTTTTTCCCGGAATCGTTCAAAGTTTTTATTTCGATTCCTAGTTTTGATTCCTAGAATGCCAACGGTAGAGGAATCCACGGCCGATCTCCGTGAAAAATAAACGTGATCTGCAAATTGTGATCAACGCTTTTCAGAGCTGACCACACCAGCTGTCTGTGTGCAGCACCAAGCCCCCCACCCCCACCCCCCTCTCTCTCCCCACCCAGATATAAAAAACACGTCTGCCAAACTTTTACGCCGTGATGTGAACTTTAACCCCTGCAGCGTAGAGGAAACGTGTTAAATACGTCAACACGGTGGATTTAATAGAAGCTTTAAAGAACAAACTCTGGACGGTGTGAGGTGAGTTTGTCTCACTGCAGAAATAAAAACACACACGGAGCGCCAGCAGTCAGACGCAGCCGCTCACCAACACTTGTGTGTGTGTGTGTGTGTGTGTGTGTGTGTGTGTGTGTGTGTGTGTGTGAGCATCAGAAGGCTGAACAATAACCTGTAATTAAAGTCATCATGCTAGAGCAGCTTCTCTGTGGTGGACCACACCAGCTTCTGCCACAATAAATAATAATAACAATAATAATAATAATAAATCACACACTAATTTGTGAACATTAAATTTTCCTTTCTGAACTATTTCTGTTGAGTTTTAATGTTTAAATCTGTTAGACTGTTACTGACAGCAGCTACGTTTAAGTTCCTGTTGTGACTGAATGCTGCTGCAGCATGGAGGTGTAGTTCTCAGTCATCCTGAGAGTTTTAGCTGAAAACAGCTGGATGTTTCTGGATATGTTGGAGACATTTAGCCTCTCATCCCAGAGGCTTCTTCCACACTTTGGTTGTGGTCAGAAACAAACACACTGGTTGTGCTGCAAGACTTTTTTTTCTCCAAAACATGTTTTTGTCTAAATGAAGGTGATGTTGTTGTTCATAGAATTAAAATTCATGTTGAAGTTAAGATTATTTCATCAAGTAGGACCTGTGGTTAGCTAACTCATGTAAAGCATGTCATGTCTTGAAAGAATCGGAATCGGGAATCGATAGGAACCGGAATCGAAACGAGGAATTGGAATCAGAATCGTTCAAAATCAAACGATGCCCAACCCTACCAATCACCTGCCCCTCCTCCTGTGTAGCCGACAGAGACCCTGTGTGCTGCATCACGTCTCTCACCCCTCCCTTCACACTGCACATGAACGCAGCAGCAAAAGTCTAAACACACACACGTCTTCTGAACTTTTGCTGCGTCTGTGAAAGTGATATAAACGCGTAGGGGAAGCTCGTTAGAAATTCGCTGGAATATGCCAGATAATTAATAAAACTAAAATCACTTCCCCGAGTGATTCAGTTTTTGAGCAGAACTTCGGAGTTGCCAATCCGGAGGAAACTCTTTGAACCATCTAAGCTTTTGACAAGCAGTCAAAGCCTGCCTGCAGCTGACACAGCAAAACTCTCCTACCGCTTTGGTCAGGTTTTTCCACAGTCCATTGCTTAATTATCACAAGTTTTACTTTTTATTAATGAGCAAATTGCAGGTAATTTTTTTTCAAATTCATATAAAATGTTGTCCAAAAATAGTATTTGAAATGCTTATTGTGGATAATTTGGTTTTAAAATACATAACATCAGAGTTTTCTAGAAAAAAGCTCCTTTCTCTTGTTTCTAAATCTGAACCTCTGACGTAACCAAAGGGAGTTAGAAGCTCGGCTGCCTCAGCTCAGTGTGGAGAGTGGCTAGTTTTAGGGTAGAGAGGTCATGTGATCCAGTCAGTGTGTGTGTTTACTAGTGTTGGATTGTGTTCATGTTGATAAACCATAGTTTGTGAAGACTGTACCGACTCCAGCCTGTCTGGACATCAAGTCCCCGGGTTTCCAGATAAGAGAAACAATGCCTCTATCTCTGTGTCTGAGGGTGTTTTGTGCAGCTGCAAAGACAGACTTCTGTAGGCAGGGAGGTCCACGCTGGGCTCCGGAGACCCGTAGCGGGGTTTAAAAAATTAAATGTGGATTTCTGGAGCTCAGATTACCGCACAAGGAGAGGATGTGTGGCTTTTAAAAATCCCAGCTGGACTGGCTCGCTGGTGTCTGGGTTGGATCCAGCTCACAGAAGCACGCATGAGCTCCAGAACCGGGTGACAGGCGTCTCTCTCCCTCCTCTCTAAGCTAAACTACCTTAGGTGAACGGATATTAACGAGTATGAGACAGCGGACAGACGCTCATTAGTATTAATATTATATTAACTGACCAATACTATTTTAATTG